TTTGTAACATTATCATGTAATTATTTTGTTTATAATATTGAAATTATTGTATAAAGTCATTTCCTAACAATATATCACACTCTAATTTACCATATTTATATATTTTATTTATTGTAACTTGTTTACTTTCAAGAATTATATTAACTTTATCTGCACTATTAATTATTTGAGTGCTTTCTCCTGTGACTCCAATTATTTTTATATTATTATTACTATTTCATGATTTTATCAAAAAAACTTTTAAATATTTTTATATCACTTCCTGTGTCTATTAAAGCACAAGTTGTTATGTTTGTTGTTATAATAGTAACTTGTATATATACAGCTAATGAAAAAGTTATCTGATTATTCATTTAATTCTTTTTGCATAATATAGTTTGTCCAGTATGAAGTATGAACTATGTATAATCCTTCTCTTTTTATATCATAATCTTCTAATCCATTTAGAAAACTCATACCTAAAAGTATAAGAGAGTTTATATCCATACTCTTATTTATATAACATGGTACTAACAGTTTTATTCCTCCTATTTTTATTGGTACTTTAACTTCTAAATTTGTAATATGTACTTGTCCATCAAAATTTACATATCAATATGGTTCAGTTTTATGAGTTATTAAACATTTATTTCCAATTGAAACTATATGACATTCATTAGCTCCTGTATCAATTAGTATATTTATTCCATTTATATGCTCTCTTCCATTAAAATACTCCCCTTCTATTTTTATATTTTCAACATTTTTGTAAAGCTTTATTTTTCTTATATTACTAAATTCTTCTTACTGATTTTTATTCGGTACTCTAAAACTTTTTAATCTTTTAATCAATTTTCCTTCTTTAAATGTTATATTATTAGATCATTCTTCTTCTAGAAGTAAACTTATCTGTTTATTTGGTTATATTATTTTGTTAATATCTTTACATTCTTTATGTACGTCAATATACTGTTTATTGGAATAAATATTTCCATAATTAGAGTTTGTAAATGTATATAAAGTTCTATATTTTATAGTCATAATTTGATCTCCTGGTTGCATGATAGCATTTTTATGTAGCTTAAGATGTAGTCCTAAAATTTCATTAAAATTTTTATCTTTTTACGAGACACAATATTTTGGGTAGTATGTAAACATTATTTTTTGATATGTCAAATTTTCTTCTATTGTTCCTAAATGACTGTCTTTTAAATTTATTATTCTTCCATCATGTAAGATTATATTTTGGGTAGCATGTAAACATTATTTTTTGAGATGTCAAATTTCCTTCTATTATTCCTAAATGTTTGTCTTTTAAATTTATTATTCTTCCATCATGTAAGATTATAGTTAAGGGTGAATCTATCCCTTCTCTGAATAATGATTTAAACATTATTTGTATTCATGCTAAATAAATATATTAGATTTTTTCACTTTATTTTTTTATTAATCTTTGTCAATAGTTATTCAACTGTATTTCTTGTTAAAAGATTTAATTTATGTTTTTCATAAGTTGTTCTTACATCTATAGTTTTCTCAATTTTATGATATTCATTTATTGCTATCTTTTCTCTTATATTCTATTTAAAACATTTCATTTTTCTATTTTTAAATTTAAAGATAATTTTTGCATTTTTCTAAATTTGTTATTATCAAAGGTGACTTTTAGTTCATAACCTTTTATTCCTTCATATTATTGTATATTTATATTATTATTTTCAATTTCCTCAATTTCTTTATTCAAATCCTGATTTGTCATCATTTGTTTTATTTATATATACTTCTTAATTATAATACTGTTCAATATCTAATATTTAAATTAATCCATCTTTTATTTTCAAATATTCTTTTTATAATATTTTAACTTTCTTTTTTATTACAATCAGAGCTTATATAATATATTTTCCTACTATATGACATATTTTCCCACAATTCCAATATTTACGTTGATTTTTATTTTTCTTATAATTTTTATTTTTCTATTGACTATATGAGATATTTTTTTCTTTAATAATATCTTCTTTTAAGTTTTATATATTTTTTATTAAAATTTCTAAAATTTTTAAACTTTTTATTTTTATATTTTCTTTTATTAACCATTATTCCAGGATTATATCCCCATTGTATATGATTTTTCATATCATCACAACATATTCTAGTTAGTTTTCTTGATTTTTTCAATAATTGTCTTTGTTAACATATATATGCAAGTCTTTCAAATAAAAATTTTATTTCTAAATCTAAAGTTCTAGGTATTCCAATATTATCTCTAACATATTTTTCAAATTTTATTTTAAAATATATTCCCAATAAACCTTGTAACTTATTATAATCCATGTTTTGGTATACTTCTCGATTTTCATTACTATAAAATTAAACATAATAATAATTTCTGAATTCACAAGTATATTCTTTAATTTTGCACATATTACATATTGTTAAATTTATTAATTTTATTCTGACAATATCTTTTTCTCTTATTGCTTCTCCTTCAACATTTCTTATCCAATTTTCTTCTAAAAATTCATCTGAAATATATTATACTAACTTTTCTATACTTTATTTATCTTATTTTATTATTTTTGTTATGTACATTTCTTTTGATTAATGTTTTTGTATCATTACTTATTCTTTCCCAACAATTTCTAGCATCTTCTTCAAATGATGTTATTAAGAAATCTATTCTTCTTTCAGTATTTTCTAATGTGTCATCTTTGATACATAAAAGGAATAATATCATTGAATCTGATCAAATTAATAAGACTTTTTTAGTATCTATTTTACAATTTAAATTTAATTTTGTTCCTTCATGGTTAATAGGTTTATCATAATTATCATTTAATTCAAACTTATCTCTATATTTATTTCCTTAAGATGGTTGTCTATCTCTTACTTTATCATAAAATTGTCTATATAATTTATTATATATAGGTGCATAACTTTCATCTGATTCTTGTAATTCTTGTTTGGAGGTTCCTATTGGATTTGGTCCTCCTCCAGTATTCATTAAAACTTGGTATTCACTTATATCATCTAAATTAATTGATCAAAATTTTCTATAAGTAAATTTAATTCGTCCTTCATCTTCATCTTCATCTTTTTTTTATTTTCTTCTATTTTTTATTTTTCTAACATTTTTTCTCTAGATTCTTCTCCTTCTAATAATTTAGGTAATATATTTTTCCTAAATTCATCATCCATACTCCATGTTTTTATAACTATATTTTCTTTTTCAATATGTTTCTTTCCTATTCGGATCATTTATTTTTCTATAAATTTTTTATCTATTTTTTTCTTTATTTTTATTGTTTTCTTTTAATTCTCTAATTTCAATATTTAATATATTTATATCATTTCTTGTTTCTTTCACTTCATTTCTTAAATTTTGAACGTCATTTATTAGCATTTTTATTAATGATTTTAATTCTTCCATGTATTCACTTATTGACATATTAAATTTTTCTTATCATCTTTCTAACATATAAGTTAATTATATCTTTTATTTTCTTTTTTCATCTATTATTTTTCCAAATCTTTCTTTAGTTATATCTGTATTTACTAATTCTTCTTTTACTATCTTAAAGTATTTACTTTGTCGTCCTAATTTTTCACATTTTAATTTTATTAACTGTTTTTCTTTTGTTATTTTCATTCCATCTGGTATTAATATTATATCTTGTGCTTTTATTTGTATTTTATTAATATTTGCAATTAATCTATTTAATCTTAAATCTGTATTATCATTTATACTCATACTTCTCGTTATAATATAAATTAAATTCTTCACCTTCATATTCCTTAATAATTTTCACACACGCATGCGCGCGCACACACTCACACGCACACATATATATACTCTTTGATTATGATTAATGTCATTGTTTTTAATTTATTAGGAATGAGTTCTAAAAATATATAACTTCCTCTTTCTTCTTCTAATTTATAATAATTATCTATTTTTCTTATTTTAATTTACATGATCTCCATGGCCCTGATACCAAATTACGGGGGGTGCTACTTTGAGCGAACAAAAATAAAATAAATCTATGTAAACAACAAATCTATCTAAATTCAAATAATGATTAATTTTGAGGACTATAATAGAAGATTTTTATATTGTAGTGATTTGTATGAAATATAATAGGGTATTTTAGGTACTTTCTATTAGTTGAATTGGTCAAAGGTTAAAACGGAAAAGTAGCCTTTTTATTTAGGCCATTTTCATGTATTTCCCACTTAAATAGAGAAATGAGAGGAAAAGTAATTAGGGTCTGAGATGAATTTTGGTTTTATTATTAAAACTAATTATTTAAATTAGTACCTGATTTTTGCATAAACAAACTTTATATTTGATTTTTGAAATTGGATCTTAAAAATTCTGGTTTGATGTAATTACCACTACAGATTTTGGAGGGAAAAAAATAGGGAAAGGGGAGTAAGAAAAAATGGAAAAGGAAATATATTCTACAGAGGGCAGCGATTTCGATGTTGACTGGGATTTTACAATTGTCCGGTTTGGTTATTTAAAAGTTTAAACTCGTTTAACCAAAAAAAAATAAAAATAAATAACTTTTAAATTGTAGGCTAACGTGCTCGATTGGCCCCTGTTTAGATTGGTGAGTTTGTAGGGTCTGTAGCAAAACAAATAAAGACAACAAAATTGTAAAATAAATTAAAAACAAATCGAGATTCTTGAAGAGTTGCTGTGGCACGCACTTCTGAACAATATTTCAATGCGGATGCGAGACAGTTTCTTTAATTTTTATTTGCTTGGAAGAAACTGCCCTTGATGATCAAGGACCTAAGTTCCCATAAAGTGAATGGTAGGGATGTCGTTACCAAATTATGAAGCTTAAGGACCTATTTGTACTTATCACAAAAGATTAGGGACTCACATAAAATTTCCCATAAAATAACTTGTAACGTATGAGAAAATAAAGTCTCGGTGGTATTCATTTTAAGCTAAAAGACAAAATCATTATGACATAATTATTTAATTTTTTTCTACTAATATAGCCACTGCAAGCACATTTCACACATTGAAACCACTACAGATTGTAGTATACAACTTTTCTTTCTCTTCAACTGTCTGTGATACGAATGGAGATTGATACCAGTTCCAAAGAAAACCAGATTTTGCGTCGGAAACCGTGTGGTGAGGGTTTTCTGTTGGGATTTTCTTCTTTTTCTACACTTTCACACCGGAGTCTTGAGGGTTCTTTGAATCCATTTTCGAGCTTTTCCGCTCCATCTGATGATCCGTTTCATAGAAATAAGCTTTCCACAAAATTTGCAGAAGATAGTGTAGAAGCCCAGATCATGATGCATGGCCTTCAACCCAGAATATTACTGGATTTAAATTCTGAATCTTCATTGCAAACAATGGATCAGTGTCAAATCAACGAACCATTGAATCTTAATTCGTGCTTGGTTTTTGACAGAAAACTCGAAAGGAGAATTGATTTGAATAATAAATCCAAGAAATCCAATATAATTAAAGGGCAATGGACTCTTGAAGAAGACAGGTAATTATCACTTTCACCTACGAAAATCTTGTTCTCTTTAGCTGATGGCGTCTATTTTGGAAGTGTATAGTTTATTTGATCAAATTTTCATTATAATTTTTTATTTGTAGATTGTTGAGTGAGTTGGTTGGGAAGCATGGAGTAAGAAACTGGTGTGTGATTGCACAAAAGCTTCCGCGGAGATTGGGAAAGCAATGTAGAGAAAGGTGGCACAACCATTTAAAACCAGATATCAAGGTTTTCTCTAACCTATCTTCGTATCATCTTTTTCCCCTTTATTTATTTTTATTTATGGAAAAAAATATTTCATTTTCGTCACATGCACGTGTATTACATGCGACCGTCAAGAGTGTTACAGAAATTTTTAAAACGATAATGGGTCTCCTTGAAACTTCAATTTGATATCTATAACTATTTCGACGATTTGCATAAGCTTTCATTCTTATTGTGTACGTTTTCATATTCTCCACATGAATTATTTTATGTTTGAATCAGCTAAAAAAGTTGATTAAAATTTAAGTTAAATTCACATTTAATTTTAACTACATATTTCATCAACTTTTATCAAAATTTACTAAAAATTTTCCCATTCGTTCACATTTTGTTTACTTATTCCCAATTCTTAATTTTATATTTTCCTTATTAATTTTGTGCAATGTGGGTGCATCATGCACGTGTTCGCACGACGAATTGTACTTTATAATGAGCTTGTCGAGTAGTCTGAACTAACCACAAATTTAAGACCGAGAATATTATTTTAAAGATATTGTGGTATCATTTACACATGAAAGAATGCATGAAACTTGGAGATAAAAATAGGTAAAAGTAACCATTTGTGCTATACGATATGATATTTGCAGAAAGATAAATGGTCCGAAGAAGAAGACAAGAGACTAATAGAAGCTCATAAAGAACTTGGAAATCGGTGGTCACAAATTGCTCGAAGATTGTCGGGTAGGAGTGAAAACACCATAAAGAACCATTGGAACGCAACAAAACGAAGACTTTTATCGCGCAAAAGGGACAATCCAAATACTAATACTCTCTTGCAAAGCTACATCAAGAGTGTGATGTCGTCTTTGGGTTGCAAAGAATCTCTGGGAAACTCGTCCTTGCCTTCCATTTCATCGAATGGTACAATGGCCAATTCGATGCAAAGGGAGCAAATTGAGATGAAATCCGAAACTGATGCTCGAATGGAAGTGCAGTTTGATATGCAAAAGCAAATGGATTTTATGGGGATTTCGTCTTCTAACTATAATATTTGAGATTTATTGCCTCTACATTTGCTTAGTGGACACATGTTTCATGTAATGTTTTAGTTTTAGCGGACTTGATGGAATCGAACCTTAAATTGTGAACTCATGACTTTTGAGATTAAATTATGTTGTACTATAGTTGTTAGCAATGATAGTCTTGCATGACATTTGTTTAGTTTATCATTGATTAGACATTTTTTTGCCAATTTTTATGTGTAAAATATGCCAACTCGAACAGAAACTGGGACTTTAAAATCGTTGGTTAGAGTTCATGTTGCCTGTCATTAATTTAATTTGGTTTTAAATCAAATCACATTACATATTTGTACTTGTTGATGTTTGTTTTTACACGCTAATTCAATTTCTTCTTATAATCTCAATATATAAATTTTTATTCTACACAAATTTCAAGCCAAAGAATCCTAGGATTTATAAATTTCATTTGAGTCTAATTTATATTATTGATATTAATTAAACACGCAAAGAAGTAGATTCGAATAGTTTTATGGAGGCTTTTAAAATTTCGAACCTTTTTCGTTAATTAAAATTCATATTTATGAACTTCTTGAACTTTGAACTAGTTGCATGCGTGCGTTAACCATTCTTATCCTGTTTGACTTGTTAGAACTTTTATGGAATTTCGAATCTTAGAAAATTGACAACCTAATTACTTTATCGTCAAGACCCAACATCCTCCATGCCAAATTATCAAGAGAATTATTAAAAGTGGAATATACCTTAATTTATTGAGAATGATTCTTTAATATCGGATCTTGAATCTTGAATATTGGCTCTTTGATTCTTGAGTTCTTGATCTTGATTTTGGCTTCTTGCTCCATAATCTTGATTCTTAAATCCCTCCTTCTTGATTCTTGATTGTAGATTGCATGCTCTTGATTGTGTGTTTTGATTCTTCCTCTTCAGTATGATTTCTCTTGTATTTTTATTTTGATAGGATGATATAAAGAATGAGAAGTTGTCTATGAATTATGGACCATAACCCTATATATAGTTTTCATATGTATTTCATCCGTTATGAAATACAATTCTAAATGAATCTAGTCTTTATACGTATAATCCGACTCACACTTTATTTAGATGTCCAAATTCCAACAATGTAATTATTTATTAGATCACTTTAATTTTGAACTTTTCTTTAAAGTAACCTTATATACAATTAATTACATACGTAGGCCCATATGACAAACTAAAATTCAACATGATGTTCTTATTTTACGAAGGGAGACGAACAAGAATTTGCGAACAAAAAGTGCTAATAAATGATTACTTACAAAATATCATATTAGATTACTATATATAGCCAAAACAAAAAGTACATAAAACATGTCTCATTATAAAATTTCACTTGTGTTCGAATATCATATGAAGATTTCATCCCAGTTTGCCCCTTTTGCCTTGATTGACCATTATACCAATGGAAGTTGCTTACACGTAATCAGAAGATGATATTACACCCTTGATATAGTTTTGCAAGAGGGTATTGAACTTGGGGTCTTTGCCTTTATGCACAAAAGTCTTCTTTTCGTTGCATGCCAGTGGTTCTTTATTGTGTTTTCACTCCTCCTTGGCAATCGTGCAATTTCAGCCCACCTATTTCCAACTTCTTTATGAGTTTTAATTAGTCTCTCATCTTCTTCTTGAGACCATTTATCTTTATGCAATTAATGTCATATTCGACAGTATTACAAATGGTTCTTATCTCTAACTTCATGCATTGATAAAGAATCCTAGGATTTATAAATTTCATTTGAGTCTAATTTATATTATTGATATTAATTAAACACGCAAAGAAGTAGATTCGAATAGTTTTATGGAGGCTTTTAAAATTTCGAACCTTTTTCGTTAATTAAAATTCATATTTATGAACTTCTTGAACTTTGAACTAGTTGCATGCGTGCGTTAACCATTCTTATCCTGTTTGACTTGTTAGAACTTTTATGGAATTTCGAATCTTAGAAAATTGACAACCTAATTACTTTATCGTCAAGACCCAACATCCTCCATGCCAAATTATCAAGAGAATTATTAAAAGTGGAATATACCTTAATTTATTGAGAATGATTCTTTAATATCGGATCTTGAATCTTGAATATTGGCTCTTTGATTCTTGAGTTCTTGATCTTGATTTTGGCTTCTTGCTCCATAATCTTGATTCTTAAATCCCTCCTTCTTGATTCTTGATTGTAGATTGCATGCTCTTGATTGTGTGTTTTGATTCTTCCTCTTCAGTATGATTTCTCTTGTATTTTTATTTTGATAGGATGATATAAAGAATGAGAAGTTGTCTATGAATTATGGACCATAACCCTATATATAGTTTTCATATGTATTTCATCCGTTATGAAATACAATTCTAAATGAATCTAGTCTTTATACGTATAATCCGACTCACACTTTATTTAGATGTCCAAATTCCAACAATGTAATTATTTATTAGATCACTTTAATTTTGAACTTTTCTTTAAAGTAACCTTATATACAATTAATTACATACGTAGGCCCATATGACAAACTAAAATTCAACATGATGTTCTTATTTTACGAAGGGAGACGAACAAGAATTTGCGAACAAAAAGTGCTAATAAATGATTACTTACAAAATATCATATTAGATTACTATATATAGCCAAAACAAAAAGTACATAAAACATGTCTCATTATAAAATTTCACTTGTGTTCGAATATCATATGAAGATTTCATCCCAGTTTGCCCCTTTTGCCTTGATTGACCATTATACCAATGGAAGTTGCTTACACGTAATCAGAAGATGATATTACACCCTTGATATAGTTTTGCAAGAGGGTATTGAACTTGGGGTCTTTGCCTTTATGCACAAAAGTCTTCTTTTCGTTGCATGCCAGTGGTTCTTTATTGTGTTTTCACTCCTCCTTGGCAATCGTGCAATTTCAGCCCACCTATTTCCAACTTCTTTATGAGTTTTAATTAGTCTCTCATCTTCTTCTTGAGACCATTTATCTTTATGCAATTAATGTCATATTCGACAGTATTACAAATGGTTCTTATCTCTAACTTCATGCATTGATCACGTGCGAATGATATATATATATATATATATATATATATATATATATATATATGATGAAGAAGTTTGAAAAAACAATAGTTCGATCCAACCAACACCTAGAGGGGGGTGAATAGGTATTTATGCGGAATTAAAGCAATTAATTAACTAATGCAACAAGTCACATCAATTATGCATTGCCTAGATTCATTCACATACTTTATCTACCTAAGTTGAATTACTGGTTGAAAAATAATTAGCAGAAAGCAGTAAAAACACAACAAAATGTTGACAGAGAAAACCCAAACTCTAGGCACAAGCCAGTAGAGATCCACTATAGAAGATATTGACTTACAGTACGTCAGACATTATTGATTCTAACAATATTCTGACCTCCTTACTGTATCGACCACAGCTATCCTGGATTTTGCAGATCTGCGCCAAAATCCCAGCTTTGAATATCTTCTACCTCCTGTGAATCACCAAGCTCTCCAGTTCTTCAAGCAATTTCCTTTCAAAATCTTCAAACAGATGATCTTCTGGAAGTTTATATGGAGATATGAAAGGGTGTTTTGATTTTGTGAGGGTTGATGTTTTTATTCAAAGAACCATGAGAATCAAAGATGAAAAAGATGAATTTATTTTGGTTCTTGATCCTTTGGAAGTTGAAAGGAATTGTTGTTTCAATGTTTGCCAAAGGTACAATAAGAAAATCGGACGTTTTATTTATATTGTAGGTCGAATTTGGTAATATAGGGCGTTAAAAATTCGCGAGGCATTAAAATTACCAAAGGTCAGATAACATAGTCGCTCGAGCGAGATCCTGGCGAAACTCGAGCGACGTACCTTCGCTCAGCGATAGACCAGCGAAACTCCAGCGAGGTCAGTTCTGCAATTTTGGCTCTAGCAAGGTCAGGGCAAAACTCCAGCGACATCAACGCGTCGTTTGCATCTTCAAAGCATCCCACTTTACCCTAGACCTATGCTATGACCTTTACTAAATTGCAACTTTAGTCCCTGAACTATTTGACCTGTACAATTTAGTCCTTGACTTTACAATTTTGACAATAGGTCCTTTGGTCACAGATTGCCAATTACACATTTTCCTAACAAACTCCCCCTTTGACATTCTGTGACAAAAATACATATAACAGTCAAGAACAAAAATAAACATGACTCCAAACAACCTATCTATTCAACTAAAGTAGCAATCTCTTGTTGAACCTGTTTCCTGAAAATCACAAACTCAAATACCAAGTGTAAAAGTATATGAAATGGAAACAGTAAACAAGAAATCGATTTTATGTCATTAACCAGATTAAGAAGCAATAATAATGTAAGTCAAAAACACCAAAAACATATATTAATATTGCCAAAACATCAAAAAAACTTAATTTAGTCATGAAGTATAACACAATTACCAAAAAATTGAAGATCTATCGATCTACACAATTACCAAAAAATTGAAGATCTATCAATCTATCTATCCAAATATCTATATCTACTCCCCCTTTTTTATCATAAAGGACAAAGGTCAAAACAATGAACTAACTAACTATGATGCAGCACCACCAGCATCTGAAGACTCAGCTCCGCTCTCAGCACCCGTGTCCTCCTCCATACTATCACGAATCCAACCGAAATGACGCTGACACACTGCAAGAGCACGGCGAAAAGAAGAAAGTTCAGCTGACTGACGCTTCGACGCAGCACGTAACTGCGTGATCTCTGCCATCATACGAGCCTGCTGCTCGACCAAAGTAGACATCTGTCCCATAAGCGTCACCATGGGGTCAATGGGCAAAGCAGCCACCCCAGGAGCAGAAGTAGAAGTAGAGGTCGAAGGAAGTGGAATGGTCGAAGGAAAAGCCGTACGAGGCGGGAGAAACACACAGGAACCCCCAGTAAGAATTTCAGTAATAGGATCAAAGGGCTCCGAAAGATCAAAAACATCAACGGTCGCTGCCTGACCCGTAGCATGAGCAGAAGAGGAAGATGACTGTACATGGGATCGACTCTGATGAATGGTCTGCTATCCTATCGGACGGCCTATGATACAAGTCGAACCCTCTGGAAAGGAAGCACCCAACGACAAAGCAACCCTATGAATCAAGCAAGCAGAAGGCAACCCGATCCGACTCCCAGGAGTACGAAATGAAGCCAGAATATTCTGGCACACAAAACTAGGAAAGTCGATCGAATCCCCATGAAGAAGAGCATAAAGAAAACGGGCACGCACCATAGGTAATGAAGAGGTATGGGCAACCAGCCACAGGTTTGTACACACTATGCGCAACAACACCTGACGATCAGTAGGTAATGACCCCGTGGCCATCGCCGAAGGCCCCCCATAGACGGGGTGTTCAAAAGCGTCGACCGAACAAGAGAATCAGCCTGAATAGAAGCAGGTAAAATATAGGGATAAGTCGGATGGGTAATCTGAGGTATACCTAAAGCATGAGCTACAGCCGACGGAGTAACCCTAAAAGAATGACCTCTAAGAGTAACCCGAAAAGACGAGCTGTCTATATCATGAATATTAGCATAGAATTCCTGAACGAGGAGTGGGGGAGGAGGTGAAAGACCAACAAGAAGGGGCTCCCAACTCCGGAAAACAAAAATGGCGACGATATCAATAGGAAGGTCAGAGAGGATTACCTCACGCTCCATGAGAACGGGGCGTAAGGAGAACTGAGAAGTGAAGACCTCCTGAGCTGTAGTAGAAATGAATCTGGAATGACTATACAACGTCGAACCACTAGCTGGCTGCGCAGAAGGTCGAGAACGCTTATGGGCCATCTGACACATGGAGAGACGGAACCCAATTAGTAAGATGAAGAATGCACGAGGTACGATGCAATATGAAATGAAACACCGCACACACAAATGAGGCACGAAAGAGATGCATCGAAAAACGTGAACGACCCTAAGATCAAACCAAGCATGATGGAAATATTCACCAAAAATATGTGTAAAAACACTCAACAAGTCACGTGACGAGAATGAAACATAGGCGGAATGAAGAGGAGGAAAAAATGAAACACACAAACTAAGGAAAACAAACAAAGCAAAACAGGGGACTTTCATCGAACACATGACAGGCGTCACTTTGGCACACAATTTCAAGCACATACGAGACCCAAGCACGCATCCAAGCATAGTCCCACAAACTAGAATCCAAGGGCTTTAAAATGAAACAAACAACACGTCAAACGGATTAACGGAATGCAAGAACGAACAACACGAACATGGACGAAAAACACGAAAATTTCATTACTAAACCATGGAAAAACACACAATGTATGTAATTTGTGATGCAAAATGTGAAGAAGAACAAGAAGAACAAACAAGAAACGCATGAAGATCATAACAAGGGAAGAAGAAACAATCAAAATGCAAAAAAAAACTAAACACAAGAGGAAAGAATAAAAAAACGAAAAACAATTACCTCAAAACGATGTGCAAATGTTGAAATCCGGAAGCCAATATATGTTAGGGGATTCGAAATGTGTAAGAAACAAGTGCGATGTATGAATTGTGAAGGAGTCAGAGCAATTGGTTAAAAAAAGAGAGAGAATGGAGAAGAATTGCGTGAAAAATGAAATCGGTGAATCTTAAAAAAGCCCTGTCGCTCGAGCGAGACATGGGCGACACTCGAGCGAAAAGCGTTCTGCATTTGTCGCTCGATCGAAGTATGGGCGACACTCGAGCGAAGTTCAAATGTCAGAAATAGCACTAAAATTTTGAATATGGAGAAAAAGAACACAATTATCAAGAAATGACGAAATTAGCCCCAAATCGTGTATTTTCAAAAATAAGACAAGTGCAGAGCATCGGAAACACGAAGCATGGGACCAATTATGTAAACTATATCAACAATAAGCATAAAGTCACAACCTCGACACTCAGCACATAGACAAATCGTAAGTCCACACATAGTTCAAAATTCCGTGGAGTAAAGTGTATATAGAATACCATCGTGAAAAGTGCCATGTAGTCCATGCAAGTGAGATTCAAAAACCTTAAATTAGTGAGAAAGGACACGTGAAAACAACCAGACAGAGGTGTATGTCTACCAAGTGACAGTCAAATCCAATTCCACGAGGACCTATATCAAATATTACGATTGTCACAATTTTACTCCCCCTAACTGTATAATTCCATAATTTTTTTTGAAACAAAAGAACTTAAGTGCAATGCTATCCCCATTAGGCGACATAAATGATCCCGGTAACGAACTTTGGGCCGGTGACTCCCAAGTTAGATGACCATAGGGCACCAGGTTAAAAACCCCTCAAGATTAATTGTTCGAGTCAAATAGGCCCCGAAGACAGTCATAAGTTCAACAAAAGAAAAGTGGAGAAAGACAATATGATTAGGTGACACTAGTCCCAGATCAAGTCAAATGGACACATAACTCCAATCATAGAAGAACACCATCCCAAGTCTCACCCATGCGGTCAAGACTCACTCACAGGATTACAGTGTGTGCTGTGCAAAAATGAATGACGAGCCATATACCCAGAACTCCACAGGCAAAGAGAACGATAATGGAACCTCATACTTGTACATATGATGAAAAATAGAGTTTGATCTTTAATGCAAAAGCCATTATCGTCACATAAAAGGCACACACACACAAAATCCCAATTTATTTTATGGTTTATTATGATTTTTTTATTTTTTTTTATTTTCATATTTAAGCACACAAATATAACACACAAAAGAAGATTAAACGACAAACTAACAATCAAAAATGCATCACACAGAGATCACATGCAAGATATGAAATGACTAGGTGCATATGTGATAAATGCATGAATATGCATGAATCCAAGATCAGATAGGTGAGCAAACACCAACAGCCATCCGAAGCGACTCAAACCTCAATCCATTTAGTGGTTTCGTAAGTAGATCTGCCAATTGATTGTCAGTAGAGACATGGTCGAGAGAGACTACATGTGATTCAACAAGCTCACGAATAAAATGATGTCGGATGTCAATATGTTTTGTTCAAGAGTGTTGAATGGGATTCTTAGAAATATTTATAGCACTTGTATTATCACAGAAAACAGTCATGGTCCCTTGACTAATCCCATAATCACTCAGCATCTACTTCATCCAGAGAAGCTGAGTGCAGCAACTACCTGCAGCTATGTATTCGGCCTCTGCCATGGATAGAGATATATAATTCTGTTTCTTACTCAACCAGGCTACGAGATTGCTACCCATGTAAAAACAACCCACTGTCTTGCTTTTCCTATCATCCGCGTTTCCGGCCCAATCGGCATCGGAGTAGCCAGCCAAGTCAAGATTAGAATTCCTAGAATAGAATATTCCTAGATCAACTGTTCCACTCACATATCTAATGATGCGTCTAACAGAGCTTAAGTGTGATTCTTTTGGATCTGCCTGAAATCGAGCACACACTCCAACACTAAAAGCAATGTCAGGTCTAGTAGCTGTGAGATAAAGAAGACTACCTATCATGCTTCTATATAGGGAAGGATCGACACTCTTACCTGAAGCATCACGACTTAACTTCAAACTAGTACTCATAGGTGTCCTAGTATGCTTCTTACTATCCAGCCCGAAACGCTTAACTAGATCCTTAGTATACTTAGACTGTGAAATGAACAGTCCATCCTCTGTCTGTCTCACCTGAAGTCCAAGGAAATAACTCAACTCCCCAACCATACTCATTTCAAATTCTTGCTTCAAACACTCAGCAAACACATAAGCTAAAGACTCAAGAGGAGAACCAAAAATAATATCATCGAGATAAACCTGAGCAATGGTGATAGTTTCTTCAACATGTCTAATAAATAAGGTCTATCTGCACCACCTCAAGAGAATCCATGCTCTTCAAGGTATGATGTAAGTCTCTCATACCAAGCTCTAGGAGCTTGCTTCAGACCATAGAGGGCTTTGTGAAGTTTGTAGACATAGTGAGGAAACTTAGGATCAACAAATCATTTTAGTTGTTCCACATAGACTTCTTCTTGAAGAAGTCCATTCAAGAAAGCACTCTTAACATCCATTTGATGCAACTTGAACCCTAGGATACATGCAACAGCAAGCAGAATTTGAATAGACTCAAGTCGTGCAACAGGGACAAAAGTCTCATCAAAATCAATTCCTTCAACTTGAGTATAACCCTGAGCAACTAGTCTAGCCTTATTCCTAGTTATAGTACCTTGGTCATCTGTCTTGTTCTAAAAGATCCACTTAGTACCTATAACATTACGATTCTCAGGCCTGGGAACTAAGATCCACACATTGTTCCTCGCAAATTGATTGAGCTCCTCGTGCATCGCATTCACCCAACACTCATCACTAAGAGCCTCTTCAACTTTCTTAGGTTCCACCTGAGAGACATAGCTAGTGTATGCTATATTGTTCAGTACTCTCCTACGAAGCCTCATACCTTCATCTAGATCCCCAATGATATTGTCCTTAGGATGATTAGACTTAACCCTAGTCGATGGTTCCTTAGGATCTTTATCTCGATCTTGTGGAAATGTTTTCTTTTCAGGTGTTTCAGGTTTCCTAAGAGATGATTCAGACACAGGTGGCTCAGTAGGATCACTAGAACTTATAAGATCACCATCTTTATCACAATTTTCAACACTCTCCCCCTCACTCACAACATCATCTATCACAACATTTACTGACTCCATCACCACATGAGTACGTAAGTTATACACCCTAAATGCTCAGCTATTTCTAGAGTACCCTAAGAAGATTCCTTCATCACTCTTCGATTCAAACTTACTCAAGTTCTCTCTATCGCGCAAAATGTAGCACTTACTCCCAAATACTCGAAAGTACTTAACAGTAGGCTTTTTACCCTTAAGTATCTCATATGGAGTCTGATCGGTCTTGGGTCTAAGGTAAACTCTATTAATTATGTGGCATGCAGTGTTAACAGCTTCTCCCCAAAAATGTAGGGCTAGTCCCTTGCCATGAAGCATGGCTCTAGCCATGTCCTGAAGAACCCGATTCTTCCTTTCAACCACCCCATTTTGTTGAGGAGTGATAGGCGAAGAGAACTCATGCAATATCCCTTCATCCATACAGAAACTTTTAAGATTAAAATTCTCAAACTCTTTTCCATGGTCACTACGCATTCTAGACACTTTGAGATTTAGTTGATTGCTAAGCCGTTTACACAAAGATTTTATGAGATCACATGCATAAGATTTTTCCCTAAGCAATTCTATCCATGTGAATCTCGAGAAGTCATCTACCACAACAAGAATGTATCGCTTACTACCTAAACTCTCAGTCCTAGATGGTCCCATTAAATCCATGTGTATCAATTCTAGGGGTCTTTTGGTCAGAATTTTTGAAGTCTTCTTATGATTCCCCTTAAGTTGTTTATCTAGTTGACATGGTCCACACACAACATTTTCACTAGGACCAATCTTAAGCAAACCATCTACCAATTCTTTCCTAGCCAGTTGTACTAGACTCTTATAGTTCAAATGACCTAATCTTTTGTGCTAGAGTTCACTCACATCAATTTTAGCACTCCTACACATAGTTAGAATTAGGCAAGACTCTATAACAATTATCAGTTGTTCTAACCCCTTCAAGAACCACCCCACCAGGCGAATCATACACAGTACATCTCTTTTCCACAAAACTCACCTCAAAATCAGCGTCACAAATTTGACTAATACTTAACAAGTTAGACTTTAAACTTTCCACATAAAGCACATTAGAGATCACAGGTAAATCATGTATTTGTACAGTACCTTTGCCAAGAATAGGTGCAGAACCCCCATCTCCAAAGGTAATCATACCACCGTTACATTCATCAAGAGTAGTGAATAAAGCCTTATTACCACACATATGTCTAGAACATGCACTATCTAGGTACCACATGTTGTAATTTTGGGCTTTCAGTGCAACATGAGCAACAAAACACTTTTTTTGACTCGAATGTCTAGCTAGATCACCCTTTTTGACCCAAACTTTCTTAGATGATAAAGTACTCCTAGTAAGCTTAGTAAGCATCTCAGTCAAATGACTAACCTGATTAGACAGAAAGCTAACCTGACTAGGAATGTTCAGATTTTTACGCTCATTCCCTAACCTATAGCATCTAGGCCTAGTGTGTCCTAAGGCTCCACAGTGGTGACAGGTGGGAATGAACCTAGGCTCAAAGGTACGTGGCTGAGGGTATCTGGGTATGAAGTCCCTACGTGATTGATGACTCTGTTCTCTCGGAACATTCTTACCCTTATTTGAACTACTAACAGCATTAACTTTTTTAGAGGCAGAAACAAAAACAGTCTTAGAAGGTCCAGCAACATGTGTATTACCCTCCACATATCCTAGACCCTTCCTATCTCCTGCATGCTTATTCATTTCCAATATATTGTCCAATTTCTTAGTCCCACTTACGAAAGTCTGAAGATGAGCATTAGATTTCACCAATTCACTAGTCAAAGTCTTAATCTTGTCTTCTAACTTCTTATTTACACACTTTAACTCACTTCCACTCTTAAGTGAATTCTGAAGATTACTAGCAAGTTTCTCTTTTTCTTTCTCAAGTTCATCAACCTTTTTGAGTAGGGCTTTATTGACCTTTTTGATTTTAAGACTCTCCTTAAATAAAAGTTGATAAGCTTCTTGTATGTCTATGTCATCCTCTTCCTCATTACTAGAATTATCGTTTGGAAGTTCTCCTCAACCTTGTCACTCTCTTTATCAGATTCACTCTTAACAGTTGATACAAATGCCATATAGTTTCCTTCATCCTTACTACTAGAAGATTCCTGTCTATCACTGGTCTTAGATTCATTATTTGTAAGTGAGACAACTAAGGCCCTACCTTTCCCTTTTCTTTGGTTCTTCTTATAACTAGGGCATTCATTCCTATAGTGACCTATACCTTGACACTCATGGCACCTAACCAAACGTGGTTTATCACTCGACCCTTTATTGTTAAACGTTTCAGTTTTTGCTTTTGTGAATCTGCTAGGAGCTCCACTCTTTTTATTCTGAGGCTTTCTCCTATTCTTGAGAACTCTTTGAAATTTCTTAACAAAGTACGCGATTTTCTCGTCCCTAAGTAACTCAGTATCAGAAGATTCATCTTCTTTGATGGATTTTAGGGCTATGAACTTTCCTTTCTTAGATTGTGTAATAGTGAGTTCATAAGTTTGCAACGATCCTACCAGTTCTTCAATTTTAACTTCATCTAGGTCCTTACTTTCCTCAATGGCAGTGACTTTAGGTCTAAATCTCTCGGGCAGGGACCTAAGCACTTTTCTCACAATTTTAGACTCGGGAATTTTCTCACCTAGATTGAAGCTAGAGTTAACAATGTTATTCAATTTAGCATAGAATTCGTCAAACGTTTCATCATCCTTCATTCTCACTTCTTCAAACCTAGAAGTTAGCACTTGTAACTTAGAGTTCTTTACTGTTTTAGTTTCCTCATGGATAGTTTCAAGAATGTCCCAAACCTCTTTAGCAGTTTCACACATTGACACTCTCCTAAACTCTTCGGGAGACACGGCCATAAACAGGGCATGAAGACCCTTGCTATTCCAATTACACTCAGCTATTTCATCCTTAGTCCACAGTGATATGTCGGTAAGGTTAACAGTTCCTGATACGATAGTAGAGGGAGGTTTCCAACCATTTTGCACACTTACCCAAACATGCTCATCTAAAGACTTAAGAAACGCACGCATTCTAACCTTCCAATAGGCATAATTACTTCCATCAAAATATGGAGGTACAGAAAGTGATTGACTCATCTAGACAATTATGGGTCAGGACTCGAGATTTAACTCTGATACCACTTGAAAAAATAATAGTTCGACCCAACCAACATCTAGAGGGGGGTGAATAGGTGTTTATGCGAAATTAAAACAATTAATTAACTGATGCAACAAGTCATATCAATTATGCATTGTCTAGATTCATTCACATACTTTATCTACCTAAGTTGAATTACCGGTTGAAAAATAAATAGCAGAAAACAGTAAAAACACAACAAAATGTTGACGGAGAAAACCCAAACTCCGGGCACAAGCCAGTAGAGATCCACTATAGAAGATATTGACTTACAGTACGTCAGACATTATTGATTCTAAAAACATTCTGACCTCCTTACTGTATCGACCACAGCTATCCTGGATTTTGCAGATCTGCGCCAAAATCCCAGCTTTGAATATCTTCTACCTCCTGTGAATCACCAAGCTCTCCAGTTCTTCAAGCAATTTCCTTCCAAGATCTTCAAACAGATGATCTTCTGGAAGTTTATATGGAGATATGAAAGGTTGTTTTGGTTTTGTGAGGGTTGATGTTTTTATTCAAAGAACCATGAGAATCAAAGATGAAAAAGATGAATTTATTTTGGTTCTTGATCCTTTGGAAGTTGAGAGGAATTGTTGTTTCAATGTTTGCCAAAGGTACAATAAGAAAATCGGACGTTTTGTTTATATTGTAGGTCGAATTTGGTAATATAGGGCGTTAAAAATTCGCGAGGCATTAAAATTACCAAAGGCCAGATAACATAGTCGCTCGAGCGAGATCCTGGCGAAACTCGAGCGACGTACCTTCGCTCAGCGATAGACTAGCGAAACTCCAGCGAGGTTAGTTCTGCAATTTTGGCTCTAGCAAGGTCAGGGCAAAACTCCAGCGACATCAACGTATCGTTTGCATCTTCAAAGCATCCCACTTTACCCTAGACCTATGCTATGACCTTTACTAAATTGCAACTTTAGTCCCTGAACTATTTGACCTGTACAATTTAGTCCTTGACTTTACAATTTTGACAATAGGTCATTTGGTCACAGATTGCCAATTACACATTTTCCTAACAAAGTTAATGGTATGCCCCATATATTTAATAAGTCACCAATTAAATGATGTACTATGTCACCGGTGCTTAACATAAACTAAGTACAAGTATTTAAAAGATTATTCCTGATATACAGTTAGGAGATCATTCTGGCGCTTAAATTTGTGGTTAGTTCACGGTTTTTAGACTATTAATTTGTCATGACAAACTAAAACTTGTTGTGCAAACCACGTGCATGATGCACGCACATTGTACGAAATTAATAAAGAAAATATAAAGTTAGGATTGGGTATTAAAGTTCCACATCACTATTGGATTATCAAAGAAATGTTTTTGTCATACAACAAATGAGATATAAATCATTGATATATTGCCAAAATAGAAAGTAAATGGAAAAAGATAACGCCAAAATAGGTTAGGAAAAACCTTTATATTGGATTTTGCATATCTAGAAAATGAAATAGAAGGAGACACTGAAAAAAATTATGATGAAAATTTATTATTATACAATACAAAAAGCACCATGAGCAGCCACGGTTGACTAAGATTTTCATCAGTTAAAGGTATCACTTCTTGAAATTTTCTCAGAATATATACATTTTTATTTTTGTAGTTGGTTGATAATCAAATAATTGCATAGAAAAAATATATAAAATAATACTTATCCTCTTTAGAAGTCAATCACCCTTTAATTAATATTGAGACCATGTTTGGTTCAGATTAAAATTACGATTTTTAGTACTCAAACACTCTTTAACTGATATAAACACATGCAATACATGTGTGGAATGACTAAAATGAAATACTAGTTGCCGTAAATAAAAATCAATAAAGGCCAAACAGGACAATACGAAGATAGGTTAAGGAAAAACCTTGATACCGGGTTTTAAATGGTCGTGCCACCTTTCTCTACATTGCTTTGCTGTTCTCCCCGAAAATTTCCATGCAATCACACACCATTTTCTTACACCATGCTTCTCAACCAACTCCATCAATAATTTATAATTAAAAAAAAAAAAAAGGTTTATATAAACCTTCGTCATATTTGTGTAAACTTAATTTCCGGTTTTGCATGTCTGAAAAATAAAATGATACAAATTATCCACTTCCAAAAAGATGCCTTTGGAGGTCAGCTAAAGGTTGTTAAAGGATAAATGTTACGTCGGTTAAAAATTTCCTAGAGAGTTGTGGCTCGAAAGCCGCACCGACAATATGTGATAATTGGTATTAAAGTTCATTAAACTCAAATAATTAATTTGATCATATTAAAGAATCAAGTGAACACACTAATTTTAGTGTGCTCAAGTGAGTCGTCATCTTTCGAAAAATATTAAAGCATAAATTTCACACTAATTAAATACTAAAATATAAATCAGCATATAATGGCATGATCTCTTAATAAAAACTCAAGTCTTAATGAAGGGTAACAAGATTTTCTTCTGCGGAAGTCATCACATGTAAATTTTACTACGAAAAATTGGATCCTTAGCCCCTGTTTTGTGGCCTTTAATTTAATTTAATTTAATTTAATTTAATTTAATTTTTATACTCATTTTTAATTCACAAAATAAAATATTTTACACGTAAATTTAAAATTTTCTCCACATTTTAACCATATATTCTCCAAAAATACTATTCAAAACATAATTTTTTGCTGACTATTACGAATATAATCAAAGAAATTGTTGTATAAAAATAATAGGAAAAAAAATACCTGTCATCTTCAGGAGTCCATGGCCCTTTAATTATATTGGATTTTTTGTCCACTCTGGTTTCCGACTTAATCTGTATCGTCTTCTCAATTTTATTCTCCGAATCGGTTCTCCTTTCAAGCTTATTGTCCAAAACCAAGCACAAATTAAGCTCCAATGGCTCATTGATTCGGCACTGCTCCGTTCTTTTCAATGAAGCTTCAGAATTTAAATCCAAAAACTTTCTAGTTTGAAGGCCATGTAAATGGGCTTCTGCACCATCTTTGGCAAACTGATTTTGTTGAAACTTCTTGCCAGTACAAGAAGCTTGAAACGGTTCCGAAGAAAAACCCGAAAATCGATATGCCGAAGATCCTTCAAGACTCCGGCGTGAAACCATAGAAAAAGAAGAAAATCCCCCCGGAAAATCAAACTTCTTCTTTGTTTTGAACAGAGTTAATTCCTTCCGACGTGAAACCAAATCTTCTCTACAACCTGAATTAGAATCCATGCATAACACACAAACAAAAACTTGTGAGAAACAGAGAGTGCGGTGGTGGTAAAATGTTCTTGCAGTGGCTTTATTAGTAGAAAAGGGTATGGAATTGCAGTGGCAACGACCGTTAACTTGAGAAGCTAATCTGACGGTTAGGAAGGAGGGTTAAGCTTCGGAGGATAAAAAGAGAGAAAAAAAAAAGTTATGTCATAATATAATTGTCTTTTTAGCTTACAGTTTGAAAAACACAGCTGAGCGACATGTGTCCTCTCAGTCGAGGACTTCCTTCTCATACGTTACAACTTATTTTAAGGAAAAATTGCAAAAGGGTACCTAACCTTTGTGAAAAGTGGTAATAGGTCTCCAACTTTCAAATTTTGACAGCACAATCCCCAAGCTTTTACTTTTGTGAGCATGGGTCCTTCATGGATGGTGTTGTCCAAATTGACGTTAATAAGCATGTGAATTGTAACTCTTCAATTTCTAAAGGACGAAATCAACGAGCACCAACAATAATGAAAAAATATAAATCGAAGAACGGAATGCAAGCAGGGGCGGACCCAGACTTTTAGTATTGTGGGGTCAAATTTTTAAAAATAATTTTTTTAATAAACAACATAATATCAATGAAAATAAGTTTATATGTATTTTGACACTTTGAAAACGTCGTATAATTACATCATTATTAATATTATTAAATATATTTTGCTACTTGCATAATTTTGTTTATCATTTCATTGGCAAATGCTAAGCTAACATTGAGTAAATTAAATTGAATATAGAAATTAAATGAATTGAAATAAAATTCAAGTTTAGCTCAGGAAGTAAATGAAATTCAAATTTAAAGCAAATATAATTCGAAAGTAATTCAAATTGCATTTAATCCGTAACGACCCTAAAAAATTTACGTCATATTTCATGTAAGACTTCTGAATGAAACGATATAAATTATATTGAAAAATTTATCGTGCAAAAATAATAATTAATTGAATTTTTTAAAAGAAAAACGAGTTAGACGTCTTTTTTGAGACGTGCGTTTGATACATATTTAATTATTTTTTATATCCGTTTGGACCATTCAATATGAAAACGATGTAGTTTTCGAAACAAGCTTTTACATGGCATAGACGATTTGTGGATTCAGATAGCACATAATCGCAAACGAATTTTTAAAGTTAGGATATTATCGAAATTTTCAAAATACTAGTTTCAAACACCCTATTTTAACATGTCATAACTTTTGTTATATTTGACCACTTCGCATGCCATTAATGAGTGAAAAATTAGGTCATGAGCATTTCGAAATGATATTAAGAATGCAATATTTTGACTTCATTTGGCATCCCGACGAATGCATCAAAGTAGATTGAAGAAAAAAAAATAGGGGCAAAATTTTGTGGGGTCATTTGACCCCACATGTCCCCATGTGGGTCCGCCCCTGAATGCAAGTGTGGTTCATTTGAAATTGGCTACATTCACTTGATCTCCATTGATGAAGCTTGGGGAATGCTCTATATGAGAAGGATTTGATATCACCAAGATTTATAAAAGGTAAATCAAAGAATCTATTCACTCAAAAGTCCAAAAATGAAAGTGAGTTTTTCATTTAAACCGGTAATTTTGATAGTGGTCAATGCAAGGTTCAAGATGAATAACTTTGATAATACAAATAATTTTGGTGTGTGGAAATGTGAAATGCCAGACATCTTTTATCAATAGGATATAGAAATTACTTCCAAGGAAAAGCCAGAAAAGTTAGCTAAT